AATAGTGAGTTGGAGATAAGATATAGCTGAATCCAGAGGCAGTTGCCATCCAGAGGCTCTGAAAACAGATGCTGAGCAGAAGCAGGCAGGTGCCCCTTCAAAAAACCCAGGTACTAAGAGCGCATGTAGTGAAAATAAGATGGAGTTAGGCTGTGGCCCAGGTGACACAGCTTGTCTGGTCACGGCTAGTCTGGTCAGTTTAGGTCCTACGTGATCCTCACCTCATTTTTTCCATTCTTTTTTTTTTTAAGAGACAGAGTCTCACTTTGTCACCCTTGGTAGAGTGCTGTGGTATCACAGTTCACAGCAACCTCCAGCTCTTGGGGATTTTTTTCCCATTCTTATTGTTTTGTAAATTTAACTCCCACCCTAAAGATGCCTATCTTGAGCCGTTTAGGAGAATTGCTTTAGGAAATTAACTTTGAATTAGAAATGTAACATGTTGGGTGGCACCTGTGCCTTGAGGAATAGGGTACCAGCCCCATATATGGGGGGGGTGGCAGGTTCAAGCCCAGCCCCAGCCAAAACTGCAGAAAAAAATGTAATATGTTGTTGCAAAAGGCAGGATTTCTTTCCTTTCTATGGCTGCATGATATTCTATTGTGTGTGTGTACACGTGTATATATACACACATCACACTTTGTTTGTTCATCTATCAATGGACATTTCAGTTGAGTCCATACCTTGGCTATTAATATTGCTGCAATGAACATAGGGGTACCAATATTTCTTCAAGATACTGACTTTATTTCCTTGGAATATATACCCAATGGTGGGATGGCTGTATTGTGTGGTAATTGTATTTAAAATTTTTTATTGGCTCAGCGCCTATAGCTCAAGAGGCTAGGGCACCAGCCACATACACCGGAGCTGGCTGGTTTGAACTCAGCCTGGACCTGCCAAACAACGATGACAACTACAACCAAAAAATAGCCGGGTGGCAGGTACCTGTAGTCCCAGCTACTTGGGAGGCTGAGGCAAGAGAATCGCTTAAGCCCAAGAGTTGGAGGTTGCTGTGAGCTGTGATGCCATAGAACTCTACCCAGGGCGACAGCTTGACACTATCTCAAAAAAAAAAAAAATAATAAAATAAAATCTTTTACTACAAAAAAAAAAAAGCCCTGGTGTTTATTCATAGGAGTGGGCTGAGTCCAGTTGCGTTGAATAGCAATATTTTCTTTATTAAAACCTGTTGTATTAGTACAAGTCACTACTTCAATTTTCAGATCTTTGAAAATTTCTGTGATTCAGATTGGTTTAAAGGGACTATGAAACATCCTGTGTGCGGACCTCTAGGGTCTTCCTTCCCAAACTATTTGTTTTTCCTTTGAAAAATGGTATCTAGATAATTTTACTTATAAACATATAGGTAAACCATACCTATAAATCATACCTATAAACCATTTTTACTGGTTTTTTTCTTTTTTTTTTTTTTTTTTTTTTTTTTGAGAGTCTCATTCAGTTGCCCTGGGTAGGGCATGTGCTGTCATAGCTCATAGCAACCTGAAACTCTTGAGCTCAAGTGATCCTCTTACCTTAGCCTCCCGAGTAGCTGGGACATCAGGTACCTACCACAATGCCCGGCTGTTTTATTTAGAAACGAGGTCTTGCTCTTGCTCAGGCTGGTCTCTGAACTCCTGAGCTCAAGCAATTTACCCACCTCTGTCTCCTGGAGTGCTGGGATTACAGGCATGAGCCACAGTGCCCTGGCCTCATACTGTTTTTCATAATGGCCGTAGCAGGTTACATTCCTACCAACAAGGTATAAAAACATTCTTTTTTCACACCCTCACCAACATTGTTATCTTTTGATTTTTTGAGAATAGCCATCCAAACAGGTGCCAAATGGTCTATCATGGTGGTTTTGATTTGCATTTCCCTGATGATTAGTTATACTTAGCATCTTTTCATACACCTGCAGCCTATTTGTGTGTCTTCTTTGGAAAAATGTCTATTCAGGGGTTTTGCCCATTTTTAAATCGGGTTTTTTGTTTTTGTTTTTTTCTTTTTTTTTGCTGTTGAGAGGATATATTTTGTATGAGAAATTTGGATTTAGCCAGGGTTGGAGTGCATTTTCTTTTTGATGAATTATGTATTACAAATGTCATGAACCAAAATATCCAGGCATGATTAGCTGATAATGATCCACGTAGTCAATCAGATATCATTGAGTGCAGGTGGTTAGTAAACACTGCCTTTAAATGAAAAGACATTATAGTCTATGAGTCCTGATTGTTCAAATGGTTGGTATCAGGTAGTATTACATGATAATACCAAATGGTTGGCATTATGTATGAGTACATGATTATCCTGTGCTGGGGTTTGCTTTGTAATACCATAAATCTAGAAGTACACTTTTCTATATTAATGTGTTTTTACTGGGGTTTTTTTTGATATTTTGGAAAAGTTTCTGTCAAGTTGAAGATTTATATTTGAATCTGAAAGTTCTCTTGGTAACAATTCCACTGAGGCATTGATGTCTTATTCCAAAACAAGATTCTCATTGTGCATTTTCTTGGTTAGCATAGATGGGTGGAGAATTTATCAGATAATCATAGTGGTAATATTATAACCTCTGGGAATGATAGAAAAACAATTAAAAGATAAGGGAATGTTTCAAAAATGATAGCCGGATTTTCTTTTTTTGGCAGTAGAAGAATTTTGACTAATATGAAAAGTATGTGGATTAAATTTGTTTTTCTCAGTTTGGGTGTGAAAGTCCCTTTTTCATGTGTCAGGGTGCGACATTCTAAAATAAAGTTGATCTTGGCAGTTTCTCCCCTATTTTGCTGTATATGGGGGTTGTGTGGTAGTTACACAGACACTCATTTCTTTGACATAAAGTTATTTGCCTCCCTCTTGCCGAAATTATTTGCCTGAGGGAATACTTAAGTTGGAAACTTACAAGAGAAGTATCTGGTTTTTTATAGCCTTGTTACAGGGATCCCATCCAAGAACCACCTGGAACCGTTGATTTATTTGAAAAACATTCTGTATTATTAGCTATGGTCCAAAGAAAAAGAAAAACAGAAAGATTCCCCAAAGGGGCAAATTCCAAAGAATCTAACTCCAAGAAAGGCTGCCATTGTTTATTTACCAAAAAAAGTTTGTTAAGCAAATGAATATGGCCAGAACTTCGGGCACTTCTCAAATTTTAATTTGTACCTGAAATCAAAAAAGAATCTTCTTGTTAAAATGCAGAATCTCATTGCATTTTAGCTAGGATCTTTTGAACTTGATTTGATTTGGGGGTAGGACCCTGGAGTTCTCCTAACAGACTCAGGAGAAGCTCCCAACGAACGAACAATGCTGCTCTGGTCCAGGGACCATCTATTGAGCAGCAACTGTTTAGTTTGTAAACAGTTACTGGGGGAAAAAGAAAAACAAAAACAAGCCCTGGTGATTATTCATGGGAGCAATCCAGGCCAGTTGACTTAGACAGCAATCTTTCCTTTACCAAAACCTATTGCATGAGTACAAGTCACTGCTCCAGTTTTCAATCACTGAGAATTTCTGTGATTCAGATTGGTTCAAAAGGGCTGTGAAACACCCTGTGTGAGGGCCTCCAGGCTGCCCCACACCCAACTATTTAGTTTTCCTTTGAAAACTGTTACCAGACAAAGAGAGTCCAGCCACCTGTCACTGTGAGCCAATATGCAGAGAGAGAACATTAGGTTAAGTGAAATAAGCCAGACACAGAAAGACAAATACTGCCTGATGTCACTTATATGTGGAATCTAAAAAATGTTGAACTTATTGAAGCAGAGATCAGAACAGTAGTTGCCAGGGGCTGGTAGTAAAGGAATGAAAAGATGTTGGTCAAAGGGTAGAAACATTCAGTAACCAGATGAATAAGATATGGGGATCAAATATACAGCATGGTGACCATAGTTATTAATAATGTATTGTGCACTTGAATTTGCCAAGAGAGTAGAACTCAAGTGTGCTCACCACACACATATACAAAATGGTAAATAAATGTGGTGATGGATGTGTTTATTTGATTGGGGTAATGATTTCACCTTGTATATCAAACATATCAAATCACCATTTTGTATATCTCGAATATATATAATTTGTTAAATGTATCTCAATAAAACTGGAAGAAAAAAAATACACCCTCTTTTAATACAGTTGAAACGGATGGCGACTATGTTGCCATGGTGATGAGTCTCTCTTTAAATTCATGACCCAGAACCTCACCTAGACCTGGACCTGCCTTCAAGCATCCATACTACTTTTCCTCAGTTTATTCACTCTCCCACTCCTGTGGACAACCTTCACACCTTCTGTCCCCTCCGACCTTCAATATCTGCTCATTCATTTTTACTCTCATTTGATGACCTTTCTTCCTTGTAGGGAAAATTGTGCCCTGATCCCCCATACTAAAATATTCTTAAGTTTGTTCTCTGCATACCCTGACCTTTAGCATAAACTTGTTTTCTGCCTAAAGGGACCTGGAGAGTCACCAGAACAGTAGGTGAGCTGTGTACATTCAGGAAGCCAGAAAACTGGTCCCCAGGAGCGAATGAGCTCATGCTGTATGACAATCCAGGCCAAAAGGTTATATAGTAAAGATTCTCTAGATTCCAAAGGTCAATTGATGACAGAGACAAGGACTTGCTTAAGGTCTGTGGTTTTGAAAGAACAAGTTGGAGACATATCATCTGCTGTTTTCCACATCCCTCCTTTTACTGCTGATCATTTGATTAGTAATTTTCAACCACTTCTTCCTGCTTTATGATAATAGAGATGGATCCAAGGTTTGCTCAGGAGGACTCAACCAGAGCTCCTCAGTCCCCTACACACATAACCTGTGTAAGTGTCTTCATCCTTTGTGCCAAAGAATGCTTCCTATTTTGCTGACAAATTGAAAGAATATAACGCAAACACCAGCAGACTCCCACTAGCTAGAAGGCTGACATTGGCCTGCTGAATTTACCCTCGTCAGATCTGTCTGGATGACTATTGTATTTTAGCAGCTGGGAAGCACCACTTACCATCTCCTTCTTATCTTCCTGGAAGTGCACATCCACAAACATTTTTCCAACAACATAAGGGAGGGCACTTTCAATGAAGTTTACACACTTGTCCCATTGGGGCAGCAACGTTGTGGTCCCCTGGATTACCTGTGAGAGATAATGGATCCAGATTGAACTTCACTGGAATAAAACCTGTAGCTGAAAATAATTCAAACAACCTGAAGAAAACAGTCTATAAAACACTGCACACCCATATACATGTGTCAGGTAGTAGGGGCAAAGGCGAAATCAGATGAAAAAAAAAAAATCCTACCTGTCACAAGTTTGGTTTTTTGGGGGGGTTTTGGTTTGTTTGGGGTTTTTTGCAGTTTTTGACCGGGCCGGGTTTGAACCTGCCACCTCTGCCATATGGGGCCGGCACCTTACTCCTTTGAGCCGCAGGCGCCCCCTGTCACAAGTTATTTTTAAAACTAAACGAAAATGTTTTAACAGTGAAAAATAATGTATTTTTTCTCTTCTTCCAATTTTCCCCAGTAAACTAAGGATCTGGACAGTGTGAGAGCTTTTCTGTGGTCTGCAGAGACACAAGAAGATGCTGATCAAGTATCCAGATAGTATTTATTATCTACTGAGAACTAAAGTTCTACTAATAAATTTGACCAAAGTTCCTAATAAAGCCTTCCTTGATCCGGGCAGTACATTCAACAAAGCAGACCAAGAGAACGTGGCCCACCAGGGACAACCCAGGGAGAATATTGACATTGCGTCATAGCAAAGAACCTACCAGTAAACCACTAAAATACAGATGTAAAGGCCGTAGTTTGGGGGGAAGCTGGGGACGCTTTCCCCTTCTGTCCCAATTCCACTATTATAAGAAAACATTTACAAACAAGCAAGGAGGTTCCCAAGCAGGACCTGGAAGCCTCAAAGGTTTACTCTTAGGAATGAAAGCAGAGAAATAAATACAATTTAAGCTGCCCTTGGAAGTTGGGGGCGCATACAGGCAATAAGGAAGGGAGACACTGAGAATGGCAGCCACAAGTGCCCCTTGCATAAGGTTAGACCCACGTTGTTGGAGTAGGATGAATGGGATTAAGGCTTAAGTACTGCCTCTACTTTCTGGTAATATAACCCCTCTGAGAGGTAAGGGATAAATCTATTTTTAAAAGCTCTAAAGAAAGAGATTCTACAACCTTCTTTGGCGATTCAAAATTATATTTAGCACTTTTATGTTCAAGAAACATCTCCTCATACCTAACCTCAAATTTTCACACAGTACTCCTTACACCTCTCTCCCATTCTCTGCACAGTGGGGGTGGCAAGCAGCTGGATATAATGTTTTATGTGATCCACAGGAGTTAAAAATACACATGCACCCATAAAATCAACTTGTTTTGTATCTTAACACTTTGGTATGACCTAAATACAGTATATATGGTGGGTTTATGTTGTTCTCTATAAAGTGACATTATATTCTAGTGACATTAAAGGTTCAAAGTGTATCCAAATGATTGCATTCATCTTTAAGAGTAATAACCCATTCACAATTCCTGCACTTACTAGTCCTTCTAATAACTAAAATGTTTGTTAAATGAAATCATTGCTTGTAAGAGTTGCCATTCACTTAACCGTAAGTTGATGGAAAAATATTGTCCAAAGTATCTTTATATAGCCCCAAAGTAGTATTTGAGTGTACTTTATTGTTTGTAAGTTATACCTAAATCAAAAGAAACAGAGCAAAAAATAAAGTAGGGCTGGACCTGAACACCCCCCACACACCCATCCAATCCCTCGAGATGATTTTTATTGGATCAGTTAATGGACTATTCCAGCACATAAAGTTATCCAGTGATGTAACATTGCAACCTTCTTAAGCTTACCCGTGAGAATTCCAGCCACCTATACTGAAAGCGCCTGCTGAGGTTTGGAATTCTGGAATAAACCATTCTCCACACCAAATAGTTGGCAATGGTCCTGTTAACAGGGAGAGACACACATTTATGATATTTTAGGTCAATGTCAGATGCTCCGCAGAACACCTTAACAAAAACGGTTGGCAAAGCTCCACGGAGGGACCTTGTACTTGTATAAAAATGCAAAACTTTCATTTGAGAAGCGACGTAAGATGATACAACATCAATAAGCACAGCCGAAATTGGCTTCTCTTTCGCCACCTAACACAGATAAATGAAAAAAGCATTCCAACCCCAGGCCTCACACTGAATATTCTGCTTTTCCTCTCGATGCATGGAGTCTGCTGGTGCACAGCCTTTCAGGTCTTGTAAACTGTAAATACCTCGGGATGACAGGTCTTTCATTCAATATCCTTTCGTTGATATGTAGAAAAATTGATTCCGGCTGTGGCCACTGTTTGTGTGTAGTTGTCATGTTCTTTCCGTATCTCCAAGGTTTTCTCCAGGTGGTCCAGTTTCCTCCCACATCCCAGAGTTGTGCACATGAAGAGTCTAAGCTGTCCCAGTGTGAGTAGGTGTATGCGTACAAGTGTGCCCTGAGAGAGGATGGTGTCCTGGCCAAAACTGGCTCTTGTCAAGTGCCCTGAGCTGCTAAGATGGGCTACGGCCACCCAAGATGCTGAGCTGGGATTAGCAGGTAAATATCTTGTTTTTATTCATCTTTCTGAAATGTATAGCTCATATGCATTTTAGTGTTTAGTATTAGAAGTGTTGGAGGGGAATGTTTTGATTTCTATTTAGAAGTTTGGGCTGGGTGCGCTCTGGGAGGCCCAGGAAGGTAGATTGCTTGAGCTCAGGAGTTCAAAACCTGCCTAAGCAAGAGCAAGACCCTGTGTCTACTAAAAATAGAAAAATTAGTCAGGCATTGTGGTGGGTACCTGTAGTCCCAGCTACTCGGGAGGCTGAGACAAGAAGATTACTTGAACCCAAGAGTTTGAGGATACTGTGAATTATGAAGCCATGGCACTCTACCCAAGGCGACAGAGTAAGACTCTGTCTCCAAAAAAAAACCAAAAAAGTTTGATGATGTTTCTGTGATGAGAAACATGCTAGAGGAAGTGAACTCTTGTTTATATCCATTATCCTATGGTAAGATTTGTATTTTCCTATGTCATTTCTCTTAAAGTCACAGTTTCTAAGAAACTTCCCATGACATTAAGTGAAGACTTACCGCATTAGGTGACTTGAGACAATGCATATGTATTCTTTGCCTTTGGACACTAACAGCAAAATGTTGGCTGATACCAATTATCTAAATTTGTACCCTCGTTCCCCATTTACTAAATATGTGAGCTTGGGCAAAGCACTTAAGTTCTGTGATTTTATCTTTCCTTGTCATACAATGAGGATGATCTCTCCCTTACGGGAGTCCTGTGAGGTTAAAATAAATAACAAAAAGCTTGACAAAGAGTAAACTCCTAAGTTTAATTGTCATTTACTTCCAAATGTATAACAACCCATATGCTCATGTAATGCCTATGATATATATTTTTAAAAATCTGCTGCATTTAAGTGTTGCCTTTTTCTATAAGCAAAAGAACCTGACCTCAGAAGGACATGTGCCCTGAGTTAATTTCTAACTCAATAGTGATGATTTATTGTTAGTGACCCATCCCTCCCAACCGTGCCATTACCATGGTGACTAATAATTTACATTCCTGAGATGGCTCTGCAGTCAGCTGACCATGTGAGAGCCGTGTGGCCTGACAATGCTAACCAGCCCATCAAGAACAACCCACATTCTCATTTGCATGGTGCTCTGACACAAAGGATGTGCACTACTTTCAGTAAAATATTTTTCAGCATATATACCATTTATGTAGAGATTAACAGATCATTAGAAAGATTTTTCACAAATACAGAAATGGAAATTTCAAAAGGGAATTACAAAATGGGAATTACAAAATGAAATAAAATATCTTCAGAGGTCATTAATCCCTCTTGCAAACACAATTAGGTTAACTCCTTAGGACATATTATCTATATGGATTAGGTTAATACAATAATGACAATGGGTGCAATCCACATTTTAGATCATCTTCTTGACTATTTCAAAACTTATTGACATGTTTTCATCAGATCTGGTTAGACTGTAATTGTTTTTCTGTCATCATCTGGCTAACTTACTCACAGATGACATACTAGCCTGGGAGAAGGGTTACTTATGCCATTTTCTAGCCATTCACTTGTGCTTACATCGTTAGCAATAATTTCACTTTCTGTTTCTCTGAAAGAATTTTTAAGCCATGTGTCCATGTTGTAAGGATTAACCTAGATAATAAAATTCATAAATCTATAGGTATATGCAAACAGCTCAAGATTATTTTCAATACATCAAATGAAAGTAAGCCAGTGACAGTGACTCTGATCTCCCTCATATGTGCCATATAGATCAAAAGAGGGGCCCATGGCCATCAACATAGAACTCAATAAAGCCTAGTTATTTTTAAATTAAAAGAAAACCAGGCTGGGCATGGTGGGTCATGCCTGTAATACTAGCATTCTAGGAGGCTGAGGCAGGTCGATCACTTGAGCTCAGGAGTTCGAGACCAGCCTAAGCAAGAATGAGAACCCATCTCTACTAAAAATAGAAAAACTAGCAGGGCCTGGTGGTGCATGCCTATAGTCCCAGCTACTTGGCAGGCTGAGGGAAAAGGATTTCTCAAACCCAGGAGTTTGAGGTTGCTGTGAGCTATGATGCCACAGCACTCTACCGAGGGCAACAGAGTAAGACTGTCCCAAACAAAAAAAAGAAAAAGAAAACCAAAGATATAGAAGTTCTAAAGTTTTCTTCTTAGACCCAGTGGATCTTGTTGGGGAAATGTGTACTCCCCCTCAGAGACCACTACTCTAATTAACAAAGTCTAGCTCTCATCCATGCTCTGTTGAGGCCACTATAATAAACATGTAGTTTTAGGTTATTCCTTTGGCTCTTTTGCATTCATATATATCCCTACTCCTGAACAAGATAAAAACGGCTTACTGAGTACTTAATGTGAGCTAACTATTATGTCAGATGCCACAAGGAATGTAAAGAAATTGGAACCCAGCACCTACAATTAAAGAACTCAAAGCTAGTTGGGGACATAAGACATAAGACCAGATTTTAGCTTGGTCATATAATCAAAATTTTTTTTTTTCAAACAGAGTTTCACTTTGTAGCACTCAGTAGAATGCCATGGCATCATAGCTCGCAGCAACCTCAAACCCTTAGGCTCTAGCGATCCCTTTGCCTCAGCCTCCTGAATAGCTGGGACTGCAGGTGCCCACCACACTTGGCTATTTTTTAGAGACAGAGTCTCACTCTTGCTCAGGCTGGTCTCGAATTCATGAGCTCAGGTGATACACCCATCTCAGCCTTCCAAAGTGCTAAGGATACAGGTGTGAGCCACGGCACCAACACTAATCAAGTCTTTTAAGTGAAGGAATACACTGTAAATACAGAAAGGATCTTTTATGCACTAAATCAACACATCCTGGGCATCCGTGCATGTATTAATAGTTCTAGGTGCTGGGGAAACAGAAAGGTAAGAAAGATATAGTCCCTGATCCCCTGAGGCTTTTAGTTGAGTGGAAGAGATAAGGCAAGTGCATAATGATTTGGCAGACCCTGCCCCCCCAAATGTATGCAATACACTTCACTGAAAGGACAGCACATCACAAACTGAGGGGTAAAGGTAGGCTTCGTGAGAGGGACATGCCTGAAGGTTGGGAGGATTTGGCACGTGAAGCGGAAATGTGAACTCTGGACAGGGTAAATAATGGAGGAACCAGCTTATGTGTTCGAGGGGACAGTGAGCAGGGTCATCACTCAAGGAAGTGGCCAGAAAGGCTCACAGTGGAGAGGTACAGGCAGCAACCATAGTCTAGTATCTAGGACATCGATGGACAGGTCCTGTCCCTGTTTTTTTGTTTTTTTGTTTTTTGAGACAGAGTCTCACTATGTCGCCCTTGGTAGAGGGTAGAGTGCTATGACGTCACAGCTCACAGCAACCTCAAACTCTTGAGCTTAAGCAATTCTCTTGCTTCCCTAAGTAGCTGGGACTACAGGCGCCCACCACAATGCCCAGCTATTTTTTGGTTGTAGTTGTTACTGTTGTTTAGCAGACGTAGGCCAGGCTCCAACCCATCAACTTTGATGTATATGGCCAATGCCCTACTCCCTGAGCTACGGGCGCCAAGCAGGCCTTTATGTTCTTTGTTCTTAAAATATTGATTGCCTAGTGTGTGAGCCGTGCTGAATCCATAGGTGCAGGTTAGGAGGAGGTCGACAGCCCTCAGATGTCCTTCCAGAGAGTTAAAAGATATTCCTTGAAGGCAGTGGTCATGAGCCAGATGAATTGGGAAATTATTAGGATGGGGCCTGATGGTAATGGCAGAAGAGATGGTGCAGCCAAATATACTGGGGATTTAGAAGTAGGGGCCTTTCCACCTGCCCTGCAATCATTCCATATAAGGATCACATTATCTATGATCTTCACAGCACTGCTATAAGAGAAATGTTGTTATACCCATTTTACATATAAAGAAACTTGTGGCCCAGAAGCATTAAGTAAACTCACAATCACACATTCAGTGGGTTTCAAATTAGCAAAATCACTAGGGAAGTTTTAAAAAGACAAGATGGCGGCTAAGCTACCCCAAATCAATTAAATCATAATCTCTAGCATGGGACCCAGCATAAATATTATTTTTGTTTGTTTGTTTTTGAGACAGAATCTTACTCTGTTGCCCTGGGTAGAATGCTATGGCATCATCGTAGCTCACAGCAACCTCAAACTCCGGGACTCAAGTAGTCCTCTTGCCTCAGCCTCCTGAGTAGCTGGGACTACAGACACCCACCATGATGTCAGGCTAATTTTTCTGTTTTCAGTAGACAAGAGGTTTTGCTCTTGCTCAGGCTGGTCTTAAACCCCCGAGCTCAATCAATCCACCCATCTTGGCCTCCCAGAGTGCTAGGATTATAGGCATAAGCCACCATGCCCAGCCATAAATATTGTT